TTACTCTGTGTGCATGGGGAAGCTTAGAATGTACGATGTCCCAGGATAGTGATGGTATTGAGGCTAAGCTAGAAGAGCTGCAATAGTTGCAAAAATATCCCCTTGACTTTGCCCCGTTGTGGTCTACCCACATTCCTGTTTGGGCCTACCTATTCCCTTCTTACCTAAAGCACCTGCTATTCTTATCTTCCTGGGAGTTTGTGTTCCCTTCTCTTTATGTCAACAGCCTTGGCCCTGAGCAGGTGTAGAAAAAAGGGGACACGTTAGGGATGTGCGAACTGTGTGGCCAGGGTGTATGGAGATGAGGGGAGAGAGGGCCTCTTCATGAACATAAAAATAAAATGTTAAAAGTTACTCAGTCTGTGATCCTGACTCACTTTCTCTGCTCCTCTTCTGAGAGAGGTTTCTACTTATCTGTCTTTGGCATGGCTGCATTGAGGTTATTCTGAGGCAGCGTAAACCTTTCCAACCTTGCACAAGCAGTGTAGACACGGAGGAATTCTTGCAGAATCTAAGTGACTGTGACAGTACAGGGGCAACACACAGAGAGCCATGTGCTCATTATGTATGGCTGGAGAAATTATTTGTCTCCAGGGGGACATGTTTCATTGCACATTAACTTCCAGCCACTTCCTTTCTCCCTATTTCTCTGCCCACTCTCTCCCTCACTGTCCTTCTGAGTCTCCTTTCCCACTCCCTAACCTCCCTTCACAGTCCACCTCTGCCCGTCAATGTCTCCATCCATTTTCTCCGCCACGTCTATGTCTCCCTCTCCACTTGGCTCAATCTTACTCTTGCTGTCCATGAGTCACTTTTCTGTTTGCCTCTCATTTGTCTCTTGTTCTCTCTAGTTCACTTTCTTGCAGTCCATCTGTGTTTTCCAAAAAGCTGTTAATAGCAGCTTTTTGGGTACCCTGCAGCTAATGATAAACTTTTCCTGTTACATTAAAATCTATAAGCAGCTCTTGATTTATTTATTGATTGCTTTTTATTCAAACTCTATGAAGGAAAGAAAAGAGAATTTTTAAAAGTGGGAGAACAGAGAGAAAACACGAACTCAAGCAAAGGGAGATTAGAAAGAAGGGGTAGCTCTGGCTGGTGTGGCTCAGTGGACTGAGTGCCAGCCTGTGAACCAAAGGGTCGCCAGCTCGATTCCCAGTCAGGGCACATGCCTGGGTTGTGGCCAGGTCCCCAGCAGGGGGTGTGTGAGAGGCAACCACACATTGATATTTCCCTCTTTCTCCTTCCCCTCTCTCTAAAAGTAAATAAATTAAAACTTTATTTTAAAAAAAGAAATAAAATCTTAAAAAAAAAAAAAAAAGAAGAAGGGGCAGACTGAGAGGATGGCAGTGGCAAGGAGTAGGGGGAGGCATCAGAAAAGATCAAGTCCGTGATGTCTGATTTCCTATCACATAAGCTAGGTCAGATATTCATGGCTGATGACAGCTAAAGATGGACTCTAAAGGGTTAGTACCAAGTTGGGCTTGGCACCTAACTCAGAGGCAAAAGCTTCAGGGAGAAATTAGTTGAACTGAACAAACCCAAGAAGCTGACATGGGTAGAATTTCTTCTGCCTGACCCACTAACAGCTGCAAACGAGACATTTTAGAAATGGCTCTTATTGAGATGCTTCAGTGGGGCATAGCCCCTGGAAGCATGAACTTGGCTCTGAGGCCAAGCCTGGGGAGAGCACTGCAGGAATGTGGACAGTCAGCTGATGTGGGTGGTGGGGGGCGTGGGTGGACAGAGGCAGTGGCCTGGGTTAGGCAGGAGGTGGCAACAGTTGCTGATCAGGGCAGTTCTGATTGCTGTGTTCGCTCTCCTCTTGCTCACTGTAATTAAAACCTTTCCAATATGATTCTGGCTCCCTGAAGGGAAACTAGAATTTAAAAAACAAACACAAAACAGCAGAGATGCTTGGTTGTAATATATATGTATTTTAAATCATAAAGCTGCTTAACCGTGTCTTGAGGTCACTGCTGCTGGTCAGTTTCAAAATACCCAATCTTCTGCTATAGCCCTGGCAGGAGAGGCTCTTCGACCAGAACAAACAAAAATAACACAAAATAAAAAACCTAACTGTACTCACCAAATGAGATAGGCTCATGTAAATTCTTCATTGACTCCATCATCCTCTTCACTTCTGAGACAAGGACATGCTCCCCCAAGTTTTTCTCCATCTTTTTTTCACCTTTCTGCCTTTTCATCCCTTCTCTCTTGGAACAGACCACATAGAATCCGTGGGCCAGAATAAATCCATTGTTTTATTTCCCCCTAAAGAATATATCCTTCCACTCCCCAAATAGCTTTGACAGTTTTCTCATTTCCCAACTGAGGAGGATATCCAGACACTGACCTTCTGTTTTGCCTAAAGAGGGAACACTCAGTAACTATTCTGCTTCAGTCCCTGATTTGCTTTCACCGTGCCCTTCCTCCCCTTCCCCATGTACTCACCTACCTTTTCACCTCCCCTCATGAATATTCTACTCACCTGCAGTGCGATGCTACTCCCCACAGCCCTCCCTTGCCTGGTGTAGAGATGCTATAGGGCACATCTGCCTTCAACCTCACAGCTAGCAAGAGAAAGCAGGAGGCCTCAAGGAGTGTTTGCTCCCTGTTTAATCAGATTAGTCCCATCACCTACCCCATAGAGTTAGATTTTGGTGTTACTGTGCTATCCGTGGAAGGAGGAGAAATTGTCAGACATCACTTAAAGAGCCCTGTCCCTTGGATGCCTGGGAACTGCCGAGAGAAATTAATCTTCCAGCTATTTAAGGCAATTTCTTTTCCATCATGCTTTGTCAAGAGGACTGCACTGGGAAATTGAATCTGATGGGGATCCCTGAACTGGTACACTCCACTCAACAGCATCTCTCCAACCCTATGCAGCATCCATCATCCCACATAAGTAGAGACATACAACATCACTACAAAGTCGCTACCCACCAGTCCCCAGCAGTGAGAAACCACACAGCACACAGGGGATAGCACTGGGCCTCGAGTTCTGCAGTTTTCCTCTTCCTCTGCTCTAATTTCTTTCCAAAAACTCTACCACAAACTGATCTCTTCCATTAAGGAAGTCTTGCTTTTATCCAAGACCCAGGAGAGGACAGAAACAGGGATATATCAGAACAGAACATGGGACTGTTGGTTATGCATTTTCTTGCTGGAACGTAAGAACTCAGCTACTGCCCTGGCTGGTGTGACCCAGTGGATTGAGCACCAGCCTGAGAATGGAAAGGTCACAGGTTTGATTCCTAGTCAGGGCACATGTCTGGGTTGCAGGCCAGATCCCCGCTTGGGCACGTGAGAGGCAAACACTCAATGTCTCTCTCACACATCAATGTTTCTCTCCCTTTCTTTCTCCGTCCCTTTCCCGTCTCCAAAAATAACAAAATCTTAAAAAAAAAAAAAAAAAAAAAATTCCTCTCTTTAATTTTCTTCCCACCCTCAAGGTTATTTCCCAGGGCAGTTGTTTTCACATTGTGTGTGTTCCTTGGGGTAGAAGGGAGTGTTGTGGGAAGTGGCACCAGGACAGGATACTCAGTGATTGAGGCTCTGGACCCTTCAGCTCTATTTAGACCTCACTTGATTTCTTTCAGATGTTGGGATTTCTCATAAGAGTTCATTTTTAAAGAAGGGTTCTAATTTTTAAAAAGATCTGCAAACCTGCCCTGGACAGGAAGCTCAGGTGGTTGCTGGTTTGATCCCCAGTTGGGGCATGTAAAAGATGCCACCAATTGATGTTTCTCTCTCACATCAACGCTTTTCTCTCCCTAAAATCAATACAAATTTCCTTGAGTGAGGCTTTAAAAAAAAAAAAAATTCGAAAACTCAGTGAGAGGATGAGGACTGTACCTCTGCTCCTCACATTCACCACTGGCCAGTGCCTCCTCCCTGCTCTGTAGGTCCTGGACCAAGCTGACTACAGGGGCTCCTGAGGCACTTTTCAGCAAAATGAATCTCCTTAGGCATGAGAGTCATTTGTTTTCCAAACTCCCTTCTCCAATCTCACTAATTCCCAATTTCCCAGCATTTGACAAATGCAATTAACAAGCCTTGATCAGTTCCTGGCGGACAGCCCTCATCAATCAATAAGGCAATTGCACAGGCTGAGGGGGAAGGGAAGCTGCAAGAAGGGAAGGTAGTCATAGCACACAGAAGAGTACTTACCCCTCTATTTCTATGAATGAGACCTCCAATCAAATGAGACCCCTCAGCCTCAAATCATGACACTGGGTTGTCACCCGCACCAACCACTTTTTTCCTTCTTGCTAACTAAATGCAAAACAGGATTGTTTATGTCTTCCTCTCCCATCGACCTCCACCTCCCCTGTCTATGTCTTCTCTTTAACAGAAGGCCTTGCCATCTGCTGCCACCATAGCTTGGGAACCCCCTCAGTGCTGGGTGTGATAAATCAGCCATCTCTCTGCTCTCAGCAGGGCTTCTTCCCCATCCACACCACAGTGACAGTTTTGCACTGCTTCCTGCCCAGGAGGATATAAACCATCATCATCCCTCCGTCCCCAAGACATACACATGCTGGAGAGCTACCAAGCTTGTGGTCACTACTGCTTTTACACTCACCTTTTTGCCCTCTTTTCACAGGGTCCAAGTCTTTCATTTCCAATTGGTTTAAGATTCAAGGTTTACCTTCTTCACGTTTCTGCTCTGCATGTAGCATCAGTATACCCTCCCCCATCACAGGGTAAGAGCTCTTCCCTCTGCAGCTCTGCCTGGTCCAGCCCTGTGCATCTTTCCACCTCATCAACTTTTCATCTCTTTGCAAACAGAATCGGGAAGTCTCTCCCTCCTCCTGCCTCTCTCTCCTTCTCCTTTGTTATTAGCTTTGTAAGTGGGGACGTTAATGTATTCACTAGACAATGTCTTCACATCACTGTTTCCTGTAATTACAGTCACTTCCCTCCCACTGTCCTAGCTTATTTGACTGTAAAGTGCTTAGAGGAGGGACAGTGTGAACAAAAGACACAACACAGGCTAAGGTCGAGTAGTGTAATATTAACATCCAAGGAAGTAAAACAAATCATCATCTCTGCAGCAGCTCATTAACAACTGGTAACACATAGAGGTCAATGCCAGACCTTAAGAAAACCAATCAATGTAACTGGGGATCCTTCCACTATAGAATGTGGAGATATATCCATATTACCATCAAGTCACCCCAAGAGATGCCTTCTTCAGGGGGCAGATCCACTGTACTTGTCATGTAGATCAGCTACATTATCACTGGAGACTCGTATCCAGCCATCCTCACAGACATGGTAGAGGTTGACTGCACCTCCTGAGTATGCATCTCTATAGGTAGCTTGGTAGATGGCTCGACGGGCCAGATCATAGGCTTCTTCCACCTCTAGGTCATAGGAGTAACCCCGATCCATGACCCCATATGCATACACAGAGCCAGAACCTACAGAGAAGGTGGCCCCTGAGATTCGGTTTCCTTCACTGTCCACGTAGTAGAGGCCTGAAAAGAGAGATGAGGTTAGCAAGAAAATAAATGACCACCCCCTCTGACATCTAATTCATCCCCCAAGGCACAGAACTCTATCCCTCTTTTTTTTTTTTTTTTTTAATTTACTGATTTTAGAGAGAGAGAGGAAAGGAGAGAGACAGAGAGAGAAACATCGATTTGTTATTCCACTTAGCTGTGCATTCATTGATATGTGCCTTGACCAGAGATTGAACCCGCAACATTGGCACATTAGGACAACACTCTAACCAAATGAGCTACATGGTCAGGGCTCCATCGCTCTTGAAACTCAGGGGAGATCAACAAAAATACAAGAGAAAAGCACTATTATAAAATTACTCAAAAAACAACAACAAAGAAACCACAATGAGATATCACCTCACACCTCTCAGAATGGCTATCATTAATAAATCAACAAACAAGTGCTGGCAAGGATGTGGAGAAAAGGGAACCCTAGTACACTGTTGGTGGGAATGCAGACTGTGCAGCCACTGTGGAAAACAGTACGGAATTTCCTCAAAAAATTACAAATGGAACTGCCTTTTGACCCAGCGATTCCACTGCTGGAAGTACATCCTAAGAATCCCCAAATACCAACTCAGAAGAACTTATGCACCTCAATGTTCATAGCAACGCTATTTACAATAGCCTATTTTGGGAAACAGCCCAAGTGCCCATCAGTAGATGAGTGGATTAAAAAACCATGGTACATTTACACAATGGTATATTATGTAGCAGAAAGAAGAAATTCCTACCCTTTGCGACAGCATGGATGGAACTGGAGACTAGTATGCTAAGTCAGTTGGTGAGAGACAAGTACCATATGGTCTCACTTACAAGAGGTATCTAATGAACAAAATAAACTAACAAGCAAAACAGAACAAGAGACATAGAAACAGGGAACAGACTGACAGTTGCCAGAGGAAAGGGGGAAGAGAGAGGATGGTGTTAAGAAGGGGAAGGGAGTGGTCAAAGAACATGTATGAATGACCCATGGACATGGACAATGGTATGGTGGGGATACACTAAGGGAGTGGGGGATGGGCTGGAAGCAGGAGGGCAAAGGGGGAAAAAAAACTGGGACAACTGTAATAGAGTAACAAGTATTTAAAAAAAAAAAAAAAAAAAGCCAAAGGAATCAGATAAATAGTAAGACTCCAGGATTCTACAACATACCACCCCATCTCACCTCATATTGCAGTAACAGCCTTGTCTGTCTGCTCTGTATAATCAAAAAGCAAGTATAGTTCAAATGACTTAGGTTTCAAGCACAAAACCTCTGTGGGAGGTATTATTTAAAACAATCCTAGCCTTCAAAGTTTAGACTATCTGGGGCACAAGACATATATCACGCAATAGAGAATAAAGCCTAGAGTCCCAAATCATACTGTAAAAGATCTGCACTGCCCAATGCGGCAGCCATTAGCCACATGTGACTATTGAGCATTTCAAATGAAGCTAGAACATGATGAAATGATATTTTGGATTCAATGGATTAAATAAAATATACTATTAGAATTTCTGTTTATTTTTAATTTTTTAAATGTGGCTACTATAAAGTTTAAAGCTACATGTATGGCTCACATTTTATTTCTGTTGGACAGTGCTGGTATAGACCAGGTGTATGGAACTGTTCTTTCATAGCTTTCAAAGAGAAAAGTATCAATTTCCAAAGGAACAAACTGAGCTCCTTTCTCACATCCACTTTTTAATCTCCTCATTCATCCTCCATTGAGTAGTGACCTGATATTCTCCAAAGTGAGTGGAAAAAGTCGTGGGTATCCCACAATTACTTCTCAGAGAAAAACTTGGCATTTAATAAGCAGATAAATGAATGAAACAAAAACAATCAGGGGAAAGAATAACTATTTTTAAGCATCAAGGGGGAAAATTACACAAAAAGTGACTAGTTGTATTCCAACTTACTAAAGTTGGCGCTGACATCAGATACAAGATTGACTTCCTGACAAAAGTTTTTATACACTGGAAAGGAAATTAGGATAAGGAATTTCTTTTCAGAGATGATAGAATAAGACCGAGGGTGAGTATATCAAGCAAGGAAAGATTAGCATCAAGGCCCCTTCTAGGTCAAAGACTCCTAAAGGAAAAAAAGAAGGGGAAATGACTAACTTTTGAGTTGCTATTTCCTATGTATTAGTTTTGAGGTCCAATACAGCAGCCACTAGCCACATGTGGCTATTGAGCACTTGAAATGGGGCTAATGTCAATGTAGAAATGCTATTTTAGGTATTCTGTGTTAAATGAATTGTTAAAATTTCACCCTTCTCTTTTTACTTTTTTTAAAAAAGATTATATTTATTTATTCTTAGGTAGAACAGGAGGGAGAAAGAGAGGGAGGGTGAGGGGTATCGATGTGAGAGAGAAACATCAAATGGTTGCCTCTCACATGCACCCCAACCAGGCACCTGGCCTGCAACCCAGGCATGTGCCCTAACTGGGAATCGAAGCAGTGACCCTTTGGTTTGCAAGGTGACACCCAACCCACTGAGCCCCATCAGTCAGCGCTTTTTACTTTTTAAAAAATCCATCAGAAAAATTAAAATCACATGTGTGTCTCACATTGTATTTCTTTTAGAAGACACTGACTAGAGTTTTTATGTCTATTATTATGCACTTCAATTCTCAAACACACTGATTATTTTATGGGATAGAGAATAGATGCAAAAACACTATGTGCCAGAAACCACATGCTTTATGTGTGTTACATAATTTAACCAATGTAACAGATGATGAAACAGATACTGAGGAAAAAAAACACAGCTGGTCTAATCCCATGCCCTTTTCTACACTACAGTGCCTTCCTTTAACAAAGAGAAGGAAGGGTTGAGAAACTAATCAACAAATCCTCAGCACTGATCTAAAGCCTTTTTCTTTCACACATCTGTTCATCTGACTCCTGCTCTCTGTAGTGTCAGCCCAAGAATTGTGTGGTTGAATCTTAACTCACCAGGGCCTCTCTTATCCCAGCCACAGATCATGGTACCCATGGACAGGCCCATGCCTTTATACTGATACACCATGTTGGCAAGCAGCTTGGAGGCAGCTGCTACTGAGATGCGTTCCTTGTTTCGAAGCTCATAGATTCGACATTGCCGAGCCAACAGCCGCTCCCAAAAGCTGCAATCTGCTGCACCCCCAGCCATGGTGCCCAGCAGGTAGGGGTTGATCTCTATCACCTTCTTTACTGTCTGGGAGGCAATGTAGGCACCTGCTGTGGCCCGGGAGTCCGCTGCAACAATGACTCCATGTTGAAACTGTTAAGATCAGAGGAAAACAAAGGAGCCACAGGTTAGACCACAAAAACATCTTGACATTTGTTTTTGTATCAATGCAGCCGCAAAATACCTCCTTCTTTGTCATTTTATACTTTACAATATACCAGTGATTTTTCAACTGGTGTGCCACAAGAGGCACACTGGTGTGCGGCAAGAATTTTTAAAACATGAGACACCTGACTTTTTAGTCAGGGACACTGACCTCTTTTTCCTTAAATTGTCAAATGAAAAAATGACAACAGCCAACACAACAGCCATCTGGTGTGAATGAATAAAAATTACATAACATTTTTTTGGTCAGATCCACAAAAAATATATTTTTGGTGTGCCGCAGAATTTTAGTAATTTTATGCCATGAGATGAAAAAGGTTGAAAATCGCTGTGACAGACCTTTCCACATATTATTGTCACAGGAGCTTCACAACAATCCCGTGATATAGGTATAAACATATCTCATGGATGAGGAACAGGTTTAATGAGATAGAACGACTCGCCCAAGATCGCAGAGCGTTACTGCAAAGGTGGGCCAGAAATCCCAGTAGTCTGGCCTAGTACAGAACTCCCTCCCAAGATACGCCCTCTAGTCGCAGCGTTTCGGTTACCCTCGCCTAGAGGGGCCAGTCCAAAACCTTTGGTGAATGGTTACAACCGTCTTCCCTTTGTCTAAGTTCACTGCTGCTGCGGCCTTCCCTTTTCTCGGCAGAAGTAACTTGAAATCGCCTAGGAATCAATCCAAGCAGCCTCGGGTTCTCTCTCCCTCTTACCCCCAGCCCCACCGCCCCACTTTCCGACCAGAGCAAGAGCCGAGGCCTCCCGGGGCAATGAGACAGCGAAACTGCCGGTGTCGGGACAAGCGGCCCGAGCCTCCGCCTGGGTTTCGCGACCACGGCCTCTGCGGGATCCGGTCCAGGAAGGGCGCGGGCGCGCGGGGCTTAGTCTGGTTGCACAGCTGGGTCCGCACCTTGAAGGCCAGGGTGGTGGTTCCATGAAGTATTTCGATTCTTGGCTCCTCTGGGGCGCCCCAGCTGGGCGCGACCAGGTTGAACCCATCACTGGGACTACCCGGACCCAGGTCCGACAGGTCCGCACGACCCCCGAGTCCAAAAAACCCGTGCCGATTCACCGGTAGCGAGGTCTCCAACACACTGGCCAGCGCCATGTCTAGTAAGGGCAGAACGAGTGGCCTCCCATAGCGCCTACTAGATAAACGGCCGGGCAACGCCCTGCCCATCACAGCTTCTCTCCCTATTAAATCTAGCCCAGAGAGGAGCCATTTTAACTCCTGGCAACCACGCCCCCCCAAAACAAAAGCCAGACGCAAGGGACCATTTTCACCGAACGTGGGGAGAAAAATGGCTTCACTACCCTTAACTTCTAAAGGGATATGTCTGCCATCTTAGGTTTTGTCATGCAAACCGTACTGGATTACATTAACCAGAAATTCCTAAGAAGCAGTTGGAAACGTCCATGTTGGGTGAGGGAAGTGAGGCCGGCCATCTTTGAGAAGGGCGTGACTGGTTGAAAATCGGTTCTGAAACCTTAGCAGTAAGTTTTCCCCGCCCAGCCAGGTGTCCAAGTAACAGCTCCTCTCTCTACTACTTCAGCACCCTATTAACGCGACTGAAATTGCCATTTTGTTTTATTGGATAAAATAATCGTCTACTCTGAGGATATTTTCCTATGAAGTTAGTTAAACCACATTTGCTTGTGGTAAAAGCGCAACAAAATAAAAGTGCTATACCTCTTGTTTGATAGCGTTAATTACCACCCTGCCCACGTTCTCTATCAGTACTGATTATTAAGATTCAATATTCTCTTTACTCCCACCCTCTGGTGGGCATTCTAGTAAGTAATGACGTGCCCAAAAGGCAAATAGAAGAATAAAGAAAGTAAAGCAAAGGGCCAGTTAATCCATAATAGACTCTCAGTTCACCTCCTGAATAACTGAGTCATTTAACCCCTCAGAGGCTGGAGGAGAGTTGGGGCTCCATAAAGATGCACCAAGAGGTTCTCTAACCTAAACTTCCTAAGACAAGCTCTTGATTCAGAATGTGCTATATTTCATTGTCTCTCCCTCTCTCCACCCACCTTCAGTTTTCAAAGCTTTTGGGGAAAATAACAAGCAAGGAGGTGGGCAAAGGTATGAAATGTTGCCTCTTGCTTTATGGTTTTATGAAGTTAGTGTCTGGCCTTCGTTGTTGGATTCCGGCAGCAAGCAACATCCATCAATATTTAAATTCCACTTTCCTCTCATACTCAAACTCAGCCCCTTCCCTTCCCCAGCAGATTCTGCATGTCTTGTATTTTTAATGCTGAAATTTGGCAACTCTTTCCAAGCCTAACCATTAGAATGTAATGAAGCAGAAGATCCTTATCTGTGTCTCACACTTGGATGGTATTGAGCAGGTGTTATTTTGCAGTCACCTCTGCAAAGCAACTAGTCCTCCTACAGACTTCTCTCAATGGTTCTCTTACTCTGCCGCTAATAACATTTGTACTTCTCTTAAGGCACTTCTACATTTTACCTAGTTATATGGAGACCTCAAAAGGAGAGGTACAAATGATCACTGGTGCTGTTGATGGGAATGTAAAATGGAACAGCTGCTATGGAAAACAGTGTGGAGGTGCCAGAAAAAAAATTGAACATATGATCCAGAAGTCCCTAATTTGGATATTTATCTGAGGGAAATGAAATCACTCTCTCATAGTGATATCTGCAACCCAGTGTTCATTGTAGCATTATTCACAATAGCTAAGACCTAGAAACAACTATATATATGGAATATTATTCATCCATATAAAAGAAGAAAACTTTGTCATTTGTGACAACATGAATAAACCCTGAGAGCATTATACTAAGTGAAATAAGTCAGAGAGAGAAAGACAAATACTAAATGCTCTTACATATATGTGAAATCTAACAAAGTCAAACTCAAAGAAACAGAATAAAATGGTGGTTACCAGGAGCAGGGGTTAGGGAAATGGGGAGACATTAGTCAAAGGGTACAAACTTTCAGCTATGAGGGATAAGTTCTGGGAAATCTAATGTACAGCATTAATGATATTATGTTGTATACTTGAAAGTTGCTAAGAGAGTAGATTTTAAAATGTTCTCGCCATAACAACAGCCAAAATGGTCATTACGTGCAGTGAAAGATGTGTTAATTAACCTTATTGTGGTCAACATTTTGCAATATATGTGTATCAAATTATCGCATTGTACACCTTAAATTTACACAGTGTTATATGTCAGTTATATCTCACTAAGGTGGTGGGGGGAGAAATATGATAAATGCTGTAAGTTCATAGGTGGGAGAGGAGGTCAGTACAGATCAGGGTGAGTTTGGGGATCCAGCAAGCCTTTGCCAAGGAGGTGTGGATTCATTTCCCTAAGTACCCATTGGGTTCCATTGCCCCTGAACCACATAGGCTCTCCTCTCTCAATGCAAGTCTGGGAAGAATTTCCAAAATAGGTGGTACTTGAGCCAGTTTTTGAAGGATAGGATTCAAATAAATGAAGGGGAGGTGGGTGATAGCATGAAAAAAGGTTGTGGTGGATGGATTAGGATTGGACCATAGTAGGGCTTAAATGCCAGCCTGAGGTGGAGAAGTGGTTTGGATTTGATCTTGTAGCCCTTCAAGGTTTCTTAGTAGAGGAAGCACAGGATTTGAGTGATACCTCAGGAAAACATATCAGTGTGGGGGATATGTTTACATGGGGAGATTGGAGGGTAGCCAATTATGAGGCCATTCAACTGTCCAGATCTGACTTGATAAAGGCCTGACCTAGGGAGGTGGCCATCCATTCATATATAAAGAGTCTAAGACTTACTTAGTTTTTAGAAAGAGGAGACATTACTGTCACTTTAGTAAGATTTCCATGTGGTCCTACACAAAGGAAGGGAGAATAACTGGTTGGACCTTAGCGTGACTTCTGGTTTCTCCAGTCTTCCCATGACATGTTTATACTTGCCCTTTGTACCGAGACCCCAGGTAACTATGATACCACAGCCCCACTATCATGATGTCTGGAGGGTCCAGGCTCTTTCCTTTGTATGTGGGTCTGTTTCTTTGAATAAACCCATTCCCATAGCACCCCTTTGAGCTGCAACATTTAGTAAAATATACTCCATGTGGTGCTCGAAGTAGTTGCAGCTTGTGACTTCACTCTTGTATACTTAGTCTTTCTGAAGAGCCAACTGTCAGGGCTCACCATCCTCATTCCCTTGACCACACCTAGTTGGCCTAAGACTTAGACTCAGCATTATTGGGTCAAAGTCAGTTGTTTCTCCTGCCTGGGAACTATGAACCAGTCTCTTGCCATTGTGAACTATTGGGCAGAAGGGGAACCAGGAGAGAGAAGGTCATCAAATTTTTTTCAGCTACATAACACAAGTAGAGAAGCTATACTGCTGAAGAACCATCAGGAATGCCATCTCTGTGTGCAGCTGGAGATTCAGATTCACCCCCCCAAAGCGGAGGAGAAAGAGAGTTCCAGGTTAAAATTTCCCTGACCTCTGGCCCCTCAGTACTCCGCCTTTCCAAAAGGCATTTGTGTTTCTCCACCCCAAATCCCCACTCCCAGAGCTCTCTTGCTCTTTTCTCTTTTGTCCTTGTCTCAGTCCATTTCTCTTTTTCCCACCTTGACCGTGTGGTGAAAGTGTGAGGTGAGGGAGCATCATAGTTCCCTGGCCCTACACCTCTGAGGAGAGAACGCCATATTCAGAACTCCCGTCTTGATGGGCCCACAGCACCTCATTCTGACTACTTTAGAGCACTGACCTGTGTTTATTCCTAGGCTGGGAGATCTTTCAGGGCAAGGACAGGAAAAACGAGGAACTCAGCTCTGTTCCTTTCGTTTATACCTCCTTTCCTTTGCAGTTATCCCAACCCCCACCTTGCTCCAGGTGCTTGGAGGATGACAGACAGGGGACTCCTTGGGTGAAGCTCAGGTGTTGTCAGGGGCCGCGTCTTTCCAGCGCTTGGAGACTCCTCCTGTCTCCCCTCAGTGGTCCCCTGAGGAGGAGGGGGCTGCTCTAACAGCCCGTCCACGAGCCTAATTTGGGGTTAGGGAGAAGCGAAGCCACGAATCACATGCCTTCCTTGCCAATTCTGGCTACAGCCAAGCTTTTCCTTAGCGTCCCTCTTCCCTTACTTGACCCAGCTCACAAATCCGTCTTGCTACTTCTAAGCTTCACTCAGCCCCAGGGATGGCTCTGCAGGATGTGTGCAAGTGGCAGGCCCCTGACACCCAGGAGCTATCACCTCACCTGTCTCAGGCCGCTGGCTGGGCTGTGCCCCGAGGCTGTGACCCTCAAGCCTTCTTGCAGACCCACGGTCCCAGGCTGGCCCACGGCACCACCACCCTGGCCTTCCGCTTCCGTCATGGAGTCATTGCTGCGGCTGACACCCGGTCCTCCTGCAGCAACTACGTGGCATGTCCAGCCTCACGCAAGGTCATTCCTGTTCACCAGCACCTCCTGGGCACCACCTCTGGCACCTCCGCTGACTGTGTCACATGGTACCGGGTGTTACAGCGGGAGCTGCGGCTGCGGGCCCTGAGGGAGGGCCAGCTGCCCAGTGTGGCCAGTGCCGCCAAACTCTTGTCAGCCATGATGTCCCGCTACCGGGGGCTGGATCTGTGTGTGGCTACTGCCCTGTGTGGCTGGGATCGCTCCGGACCTGCTCTCTTCTATGTCTACAGCGATGGCACCCGCCTGCAGGGAGACATCTTCTCCGTGGGCTCTGGGTCTCCTTATGCCTATGGCGTGCTAGACCGTGGCTACCGCTATGACATGACCACTCAGGAGGCTTATGCCCTGGCTCGCTGCGCTGTGGCCCACGCCACCCACCGTGATGCCTACTCTGGGGGTTCTGTTGACCTTTTTCATGTGCGAGAGAGTGGGTGGGAGTACGTGTCACGCGATGATGCCTGGGTGCTGTACTCAGAGCTGCAGAAGCTCCCAGAGCCAGAGGAGCAAGAGGAGAAGGAGGCCAGCCAGGACCATCCTGAACCTGCCACTCCCCACGGAGCTGGGGAAGATGGAGAGCTTTCTGTGGGGCTGGTACCAGGAGACTCTGGGCTTCCCGCAGAGACTGAGACTCTGTAAGAAACAGCAGGACTTGGGGGGACCTAGTGCAGAGAGTGGGTGGAGGATGGGGTGTGAGCAGCAGCACAGCACCTGGCTCCAACCCCAGTGGGTGGCCGGTTGCGTTTGTTCCAAGTCTCCATCTCTTTCTGTCTCCCAGAACTATTGATGGTTCTGTCCAGTGTGTTCCCGCTGACACCCAATAGATTGGTCCAGCCCCCTTCTCAGTGCCAAGCCCTTCTTTCAGCAAAGCCTCGCTGTGTGCCTGCTGTGTGCCAGACACCGCGCTAGGTGCTAGACCCTCTTTCCTTGCCATCCTCTTTTCTGCTTTTTCCACCCTATCTGCAGTCTTCCTTCTTCCTCCCATTTTAGTCCTCGTTCAGCTTTCGGAGTCTGTCATTCCCTCAGCTCGGTGAGGCGGGGTAGCCAGAAGGAGAGTGAGGCGGGGAGCAGCCCAAAGGGCCCAGGCCCGCCAAGGCCGGGCCGCGGACCTCTGGGGGGTGGCAATGGGCCTCGCATCTGCTCTCCTCTGCTCCCCTTTCATTCAAATGAGTATAATGATTATTACTTTACTGAGTGCAGTTCTCATGGTAACTCTTTGAGGTAAAAATTATCCCCACTTTACAAAAGAGAAAACCTTGCCCAAGGTCACACAGCAAGTGGTAGACATGGGGCTTGGACCCAGACCTTCTGCTCCAGAGCAATGCTCCTTTAGCAAGGCTTCCCCCAGGTCCTCTCCCTGACTTTCCCCTCTGCCACCAGAATACAGCCTTGTAGACATCTGGGGAGGGAGGTGGGGGAGAGTAGCTGGGCCCAGCCCATGCCTGGTGGGCAGGGATGACTGAACCCAAAGGATCCTGAGGGCTTGGAGGGGTGAGCCCGGGGAGGCTGCTCCCACTGAGCCTCCTGTGCCCGACCTGCCAGGGCCTGGGACCATCACCGCAGCTCACCTGTGCACTGCCCTTTGGGGATTGTCTTTGCTGCTGCCAGACTTCTCCTTTCTTCCCCCTTCCTACTTCCTTCTTCCCAGTCTCCTTCCTGTAGTTCTGAGGAATGCAAAAAAGAGGGAGGTGGCTGTGCCTGAGGGAACTGTCAGGTTAGCGTGGCTTCGCCTGCCCTTCCTGGCCTCCCCCTTCTCCCGTGTGAGCCCCGATTTGGAGATGCAGCCTGACATCTCCCAGCCCCTCCCCTCCCAGGCCAAGTCGGGGAGAAAGCACGGTCAACCGAGAGCCGGGACCTGAAGGAAAGCTGCTGAAACTTCTTTCTCTCATCCCACTCCTCCTAGCCTCCAGCCCATCCTCGAGTTCCAACCCTGAACCCCAGGCTCAGGGTTCCTCCAGGCAGGAGCTGGCCAGACAGAGGAGACCTCCAGGCTCTGGCCTTTGGGGGATGAATAGGGAGGAGGGAGGAAAGGTCAGGGGGCCCAAGGAAGGAAAGCAGTGGGGGCAGAGGAGAGGACATTGTGGTAGAGAAAAGGGGCCACAGGAAGGTGCCCTATACGTCAGGACTAGCCTTTGAGCCAGGGTCCAGAATCTGGCCAGTGGCCTCTACAGCAACCCTTCTTCACCGCTCTCCCATTCCTCAGTCACAGGGAAGGAGAAGCGGGACTCTGGGAAGGCTAACGGGAGGTCATGGATCCTGGCCAGCCTCGTCCTGGAGGAGAATTGGAGGAAGGGCAGTTTTTGTCTAGGGTTCAAGTGTTTGATGGAATCAGGCATAAGAGGGTACATCTCCACATGCAGAGATGTGTGTGGGTCCCAGTGTGAGTGATTTGGGATAGATGTGTGCACCTGAGTGTGGCAGGTGATGTATGTGCAGTTCCTGTGTGCAGAGACAGGAGATAGCTGGAGTAGGAGCAACATCTGCATAAGGAAAACAGTCCCTTATTGGGGAGAATGCCAGGCCTTGTCACTTCTTTCGGGAAAATGCTTCAGAGTAAAGAGGAGGTGGGGTCAGGGCTCATCCCATCAGTTCACTACTTCTATGAGAAATGCAGGGAGGGAGTAGCAGACCTGAGCCTGAGGTTGCCACCTGAGCCCATGCAAAGGCTTTCTGTGAACTGCAAGTAGCTCATTCCCCAGGAATGTTCTGTGCCCTTCCACTTCCCATAAACTGGGAGGGGAGGATGGAACCCAGAAAAAGAGGGCAGAACAGTAGGAGAAGCCTTCTTCTTCTTCTTCTTTTTTAAGAGAGGGAAAGGAAGGGAGGGAGAGAGAGAGGAAGAGAAACATCGACAACCTACGCATGTGCCCTGACTGAGAATCGAACCAATGAACTTTTGCTTTGCAGGGTGACCAACCAACTGAGCCACCCGGTCCAGGTGGCAACCCTCCTTCTTGCGTCTCCTCCCAGTGCATCTCCCCTTTTCTTTTTGTCATGTTCCTGCCCTTATTCACTCCTTTGACAGGTTCTGTCCCTCAAGATGATGAGGCATGTGAGATTAGAGATAAGGGTCTTGCTGACAAACCTGTTTCCCTATGCCCTGTTTTTTCCCCCTCTCTAAATTGGGTGAGTTGGGGGGACCGGAGGAGAGTGCTAGGAAGGGCTGGAAGAGCAGGCAAAGGGGTGTGTCCATGTCAGCACACCCCTCACTACCTGAAACCGCCCGGGGTCAGTCTCTTCTGTTCTCCATTTATTCCTGAAGGGTTGATACAGGTATAAGGGTGAGACCAAAGGGGTAGAGGTCTTGCCCGTCCTGCCCTGAACTGGAAGACCGTGTTCCTCTGACACCTGCGTGGTACGCTGCCTCCTGAGGCCTTCAGGGAACAGACAGCCTGCTCTTGCACAGGCCGTTGGGCAATTGGGGGTCCAGTTCCAGTCTTCAGCAGAGGAAGTAACTCTGGCACTGGAGCAAGGGTCCTTGTTGTCCCACCACCTGGTTGCGCTAAGCAAGCAAGTGTGGAAGGTATGAGGGAAGGACTCTTCCCATTGAAGCAGCTTTCCCTGATTGCCAGCACCCCACACTCAGAGGGGAGGGACACAGGACCTGTCCTGACTTGCCTGGTTGAGTCTACAGGAGGTGTGGGTGCTCGTGCTGATTCCTGAGTGGATCGCTTTTCTGCTTAGGAAGTGGACACTGAGACACGCTGGCTACTCCTGCTCAGCTCCCACCCATTAGTTTTGATTCGGCCCCCCGGCCCTCTCCTTCCTCCTTGGTGCTCCATGAATAAGACAACGGACGGGGGAGAAATAAAGGCGCACAGCAGGCCCAGGTGCAGCAGACCACCCTTTCCCCAGTGGGCACCACAGGTCCCAGGGGAGACTGGTTTGCCTCCACCCCCATTTTTTTCTGTCTGGAGCCCCTCTTCCTTTCTCTTCCTCCTTGGTGTAGCGCTCGCCCTCTGCTTCTCCATCCCACACTCCCCTCTGGCCAGTCTCTACATCTTAACTTCCTTGGACAGTTTGAGAACAACAGGGAACTCAGAGAGCCGGTGGTAGGAGCGGGGGACTTCCGGAATGGAACCAACCCAAACCCTCCTCTCTCTAAAGGGACCTGGAGTGGACCTTCCCCCAAGCGAGAAAGAATGAACCAAAGGGAATAGGCTTGGGCCTCTCCTCTCGCTCTTTGGCACAGTAAAGCTCCATACAGAAACCTGAGCGCAGAAGCAGAAGAGGGCTCTAGCTTTACAAAATAAAGTGTTTGTTTATTATGAAATTAGAGATGGAGGCCCCTCCCCTTCCTCCCTCTTTCCTCTTCCCCAGCTGCCTCCCCCTTTCTTTCCCCTACACTTCCCCTGGGGCCTGCACAAGACAATGCCCAGAGCTGGGATGCCAACAGCTGGGCAGAGCTCCAGGGAGGCAGCCAAATGGGGCAGGGGCAGGGGCAGGGCTGGAGCTCTCCCCTGGGAGGCGGGGTGGCACCCCCTCTCTGCTGGAGGCCAGTAGAGCCAGGATGAGGCCATGAGTGATGGATGGAACCATGCAGGAAGGTCTGTAAAGACAGGAGAGCCCAGTTAGAGAGAGTGAGTCAGGGATGGCCTCAGGCCACCCCTGCCCCACACAATCTAGGGGCACTGACCTGGGGCAGAATGTCCCCTGCAGGAAGGTGGGCAGCAGTGGCTGGAAGTTTCTCTTGCTTTTGGGATGAACAATGGAAAAAAAACCCAAAAATCCACAGGGACCCAGAGAGAAATGGGAAGCAGATGTGGGCAAGAGACAGACACAGAGCGTATGTGTGGGGGCAAGGGAGACAAAGCATGTATGAGAGACTTAGAATCGGAGAGACAAAAGCAGAGCCTTGGTGAAGGTGGAATCACAGTGACAGAAGAGGGAGACTGAGTTGGAGCCACACAACGGAGACCCGGACAGTGTCCCAGGGACAGAGATCCCTGGAGGGGACACAGAAGACTCGGGAGGAGGAAGGTGAGAAGAAGGTTGCTCTGAGGAAGCTGGGAGGAGGAACACAGGGATGGGAAGAGGCTTGGGACCCCTGGGCTGCTGCCGCCTGCTTGGACCCTGGGGCTCACTCAGAGGGCCTGCGCGGGCTACCCCACCTTGGCTGGCAGGGCAGCCCGGCTCTCAGGGGGCCGGGGGCTCCTTGGCCCCATACAGCTCCGCCAGGGTGCGGAAGAGCGGCCCCCAGTCATCCAGTGGCTCCGCGGGGCCGGGGGCGCCGCCGGCCTCGGAGCCCAGGGAGCTGAGGGAGCCACAGGACGAGCCCCGGCCCTCGTAGCCGTACACCTGCACCGAGTCGTAGGGCGGCACGCTGGGGTCCTCGTCCGCCTCGCGCAGCCGCAGTGCCAGGAGCTGCGCCACGTCGGCGGGACCGGGGGGCCGGGGCTGGCGCTGCGCCCGGGCCCGGGGTAGCACGTCACGGCGCCCGGGGGGGCCAGGGACCGGCAGGGCTGCCCCATCGGGGTTCTGAAGGGCGCTGATGTCGAAGGCCTCCGTGTCCTCTTCTCCACCGCCCTCATCGTCGTATGTGATGATGTTTTCCCGGACATCCTCCTCCTCCAGCACCATCAGGGCTTCCTGCTTCTGGTGCCGCAGGGCCACGAAGAGCACCACCAGGGCTGGGGGAGAGGCCACACAGGCGCTGAGTCAGCGGCCTGGGCGGACACAGGGTGGGTGACACCGGAGGCAGCGTGGCTTAGCGGTGGCAAGCCCTAGGTTTGACATCCGACTCCAGACGTCGCCCCTTACTTGCTGTGTGAGCACGGGAAGTTGCCTAACTTCTCCAAACCTCTTTGACGCTTAGATTGATTACTGGTGTGGAAAACAGGGGAAGCATTTGCCAATTAGGGCTGTGGAAGGGGCGACGCGAAATACCATTGGCAATGTACCCAGGGCCACACGTGGCCCAGAGTCAGGGCTCAATAAAGTTTTTATGGCTTGTCACCGTCATTACGGATCAGCAGGTCAGGGATATGAGGCCGGAGCTTTTTCTCTTGGATGCGGCAGGCAGTGGGGCGATCTAGCCACAAGGGCTCCTGTAAGCCCTAGGGTGGATTTCTCTATGTCCAGGGTCCTGATTCCTCTCCACATCTCCAAACACCTGGACCCCACATCTATGTCCCACTGTGGCCTGACTCACCAAGCAGGGTGCCCACACAGGTGATGATGGCAAGCAGGGCCCCCGTGCTGAGCCCGGCAGGTGAGAGCTGAGCCTCAGGCCGGCAGGATGCCACGGAGCCATCAGGCCGGCAGCGGCACATGCTGACGGTCACTGTGGCGGTGCTGCTCAGTGCTGGTGTCCCCCAGTCCCACAGTTCTATGGGAACCAGGTAGGGGGCCTGGCGCGGTGGGGCCGGACGAGAAGGCAGCAGCAGGCTGGCAGAGCCATCTGAGGGAGAGGGAAACTGTTAGGGCATCTCCTGGGACATTTTCCCAGTAGGGTCGGTCTGGTCCATGGAGGCGGCTTCCCAGGGAGAAGGTTGGCAATCAACAACCATGTGCAAATCCACATCTACTTTCTGTCAGGAGGAGGGCCCAGGTATGTGGGCGGGGGTCAGGCAGGGTGGACTGGGGTGGTGAAGGAAGAGAGGGGGAGGGAGGCAGGCACAGGCATGCGTACAAGAGGAGGTCACCCACCTTGGTTGTCCCGGACAGTGAAGTTTGCATCAGGGCCCAGAGGACCTTGAAGGGAGACACGGCTGCTGTTGCCAGCTTCGTCTCTGTCCAGGGCCTGGATGACCTGAATCAGCTGGGAAGAAGAAGACAGAGCTTGTATGCAGTGGGTGGCGGGAGGGCCTGAGGTCCCAACCCCTCTGTTTCAGCAGCTCACCTGGCCAGGGACTGCAGAATCACACACAAAGGTGTCATAGGGCTCAGCCAGCTGGGGAGCATTGTCATTCTCATCCAAGGTCTGAATGGCCACTTGCACGCGGGAGGCCTGTGCGGAGCTGTCTGAAGCCAGAACATGAACACATACACCCCACACACCCATATACAACCCATGTGGTGCATGGGCATGGATGCCACATGCAGCGTATAGCAGGCACATGCGACACATGAAATATGCATGCAATTTGCATGTAGCAAACATTTTGAAATGAATGGAACACCACCAAGTGCATACAACACTCATGTAGTACCCAAGATATGTGAAATACACAACATACATTGAACAGGAATAGCATTCATGATATACATAAACAATAACCCACAGGTAGGGCACACGCACATCATAAATGAAGGTTAGACAGAAGGTGCATACAGATTGCACTTAGACGATAGCCGTAAAATGTACACATGAGTACCACACATTGGAAGGACACTCGGTGTTTAAAACAAATGCAAGATACATGAAGTAGATGTTCAGTATACACAGTGACTACATATATCCCCCCACCCAGCGTCCAGAGAATGCATTTTCATGCACAGTATCGGTGGGAGGACACACACACCGTGCCCCATTAGAGGGCTGGAAGGCTGTGGTGCAGGAATGAGCATCACTTAGTGTTGACCTTGGGAAGAGAGGAGCTGTATGATGCACAGGGTGCAGAGCTAGGCTGCCCTGGGCACCACAGGCAGACGCAGACCCCTCTTTCCCCGTCCCTTCATCAGGTGGCTCCCACCATTACCTGCCTTGCTCTTCACTGCCAGTGGCATCCCAGGGGGAATGAAAAATGCATCCCTGCCCACCTTAGTGCTCACCTCTCCTAGGCTGGTTCCTTTAGTCTCTCCCCCCAAGCAGTCCCTGAAGGTCGCAGCCTGGCAAAGGAGGCTGAGTGGACTGCCTGGCTAAAAGTTTGGGATACCCCAGATAGAGGATGGGGCAGGGCCCCATTCCTTCACTGCAGCAAGGGCCCAGGCTCTGCTAAGCCGATACTGAGGTTCTCGGGGGCGGGGAGCAGAATTTGGCAAAAGGTTGAGAAGACAGTGAGGGGAGGCACACACACACAGTGGGTTACATATACACAGGCAGCCACGACACATACTATATATACACACAGGGCCACTCACGGACAGGCATGTGTGCAGTACCACATAACACACAGCTGCATGGGCATAAACACAAACCTACACATGTCCAATTTAACACATATGCCAGCAGTGTGGTGAAGGAGAGAGCTCAGGCTCTGCAGCCTGCTCCGCCACTTCATCTCTGAGTGACCTTGGGATGTTATTTAACTTCCCTTTACTTGAGTTTTCTCATTGTAAAATGGGGAAATAACCATGCCTCCCTCATAAACTTGTGGTGATGAGCGAATGAATAAATCCACATTTGGTACTGAGACCAGTGCCTGATACACAATAAGTAACAAATTATTATTATGTATCCACAAACACTCACATACACAACAGATACAAACAGCTGCGTGTACCTATCACTATACCCATTCCATTACATATATGCATAAATAATGTAAATATAATTCTAGACACTCAACTATATCAACATAGTTATAGGCATGTACTCACAAATATGTGTATGCACATGTAATTTTCACACACATGGAATTATACACACACATACATTAGCTCTTGATTGACATGTATAAACATCTACACACACAGTGGCAACCCAGACAGGATACAGAAAATGTAGGACACGCTGGGACACGAGCAGGGGTGGTAAGGGGAGACTGAGGGAGGGGAGGGGTCTTCTCCTTGCCTCCAGGAGCCCGAGCTGCCCGGAGAGAGCAGCTGAACCGTGCTGCTGGTGACTTGGGACTGACGGGGCAGGAGAGGGGCCAGCGTTCTCCCCTGCCTTGAGCACTCCCCTTGGGGCTTCCCTGGGAGCAACTGCTGTGGCTCCCCAGTCACGCCCCAAAGGAGGTCCCAGCCCTTCCCTGGCCCCAGGCTTCAGCCTGAAGCAGAGAGTGGGGCAGGGCAGGTTCAGCCAGGGTTCAGGCTGGGATCGTTAGAGGTTGGGAGCTATTTGAGGTTAGGTTTATTTTCAGGATGAGAAAAGCCAGGTATAGGAGTGAATTTAAGTCAGGGGAATGCTCTGGTGGACCTACTGTGCCCAGCTCAACCCAGCTGAGGAGAGCAGGCCGGCCTGATGCTGATGATCCAGGCTGGGAATGAGGGTTCCACGGCAGTGATCTTCCTTCCCCACCCACGCCACGCTCAGGGACAGCCCCTCTGCCAAGAGGCTGCTACTTTCTCCAGGGCCTCCTGGGGGCTGCGGACTCCTCACCGAGCTCTGTGGCCAGCACTGTGAGGTTGTGCCATACACGAGCTTCGCGGTCCAGGGGCACAGCTGTGCGGATGGTGCCGTCCTCAGGCTCGATAGAGAAGCAGCGCTCCACATCAGAGTGGGGGAGGATGGAGTATCTGGGGAAGCCAGAGCTGAGCTGGGGCTGACTGGGGGCAGGGCCGCAGCTTGCTGCTCCGCCTCCCTCCCTTCTGTTCCCCTTACTGGGCCTCCTGGCTCAGCTGAGCAGATGGGCCTGAGCTCCTGGGACAGAACCTGCCCTCTGCACCCAGAGCCATAACGCCCACAGGGTCCTCTCGGAAGTCATCGACATTAAATACCTGTCCTGAGACTCAGGGGGGACTGAGTTTCCTTGGAGTGGGGGAGAGAGACAGAACAAGGTGGACAGGGGAGACACTACGCGTCTTTCAGACTCTGGGCTCTGTTCTGGGGACACTGGGGCCCGTGTTCTTGCCCCACTCGGCCTCAGAACAGCTGCGTGACCTTGGGCAAATTGTCTAACTTCCGTTTCCTCAACTACGAAAAGGGAATGACAGCAGCACCTCCCTCAGTACTATGACAGGGATGGTGGTAGGGAGGTGGAAAGAGTGGCTCTTCTCTAAGAACAGTTGCGGTTCGAATCCTCGCTCTGCCTCTTACTTCCTGGGTGACCTTGGGCAAGTTACTTAACCTCGCAGGACCTAGCCTCTGAAAAAACTGATGATGAAAACACCTACTTCATAGGGCAGTTGTGAGAATTAAATGTCAGCCAGTGGGTAAAGCATGACATACTGAGGGACCAACCATAGTGATCAAGGATCAATCACATTCAGCAGCAAATGATATTACATCTGCTCATCTGCTGGCACTGCTACTGAGAGGCACCACTATTATGCGCCCAGAGGGATCGGGGGAGAGCCTGGGAGTGCTGAGCCAGAACCTCCAGCCCGCCCCTGCCCCAGGCCCCCTGGGAGGGGGACCTCTTCCAGGAGGCAAGTGTGATTTATGGTCAAGGAGACACATCATCTGTGGGACTTGATTGCCCTTGGGCACCTTGCCCCAGGCCTGGCCCAGACACACCCTCACTCACCTGATCAAGCTGGCCGGGGAGTCCAGGTCAGTGGCTGAGACCTGGCCCACCAGGGTCCCAGGAGCCTTGTTCTCGGGCACTGCCAGATGGTAGGCAGCCTGGGTGAAGGCAGGTGGCTCTGGGGCATCCTGCACAGCTATGCGCACGGAGGCCACATCCTTGAAGGGCCCTCGCCGCAGGTAGGCTGGGTCGATGAGCGTGTTGGTGGCCTCCACACGGAAGGAGTAGGAGCGACGAGTCTCGAAGTCTAGGGGCTATGGCAAGGGGAGGTGGAGTGGCTGAGACGGGTAGAAACCAGGGCAGGCCCAGGTTCCTGGGAGGTGGAGTCCTTTCCCCACAAGCATCCAGTGTTCAGCCCTCCTCAGAGGAGAGGTGCCAGAGGGGCAGTGGCCTCGGTGGTCAAGGGAGGGGGCAGATGGCTTAGTAACTAGGGCTACCCCCAGTTCCATCACGGGCTCGGTATATGAAGCCTTGAGCCAGTCACTCCCCCTTTCTGGGCCCCTGGCCCTCATCTGAAACGTAAGCGGATGACCATGATCTCTAAGCTCCAACATAGGTTTCTGACTCTGTTCTAGATTAGTTACTAGTGTGCCCTGGGTGGGTAGGAGGATGGTATGAGTGAGTCTACAAGTGTCAGCAACAGGAAGCTAACCTTTCGGACGGTGAGGAGCCCATCTCGACCCTGGGCGTCTGTGCTGATGCTGAAGGCCTCAGACCCCTCCCCATCCAGGATGCTGTATGCCATGAGGGCATTGTCGCCCAGGTCTGGGTCCTGGGCCCGAAGCCGGCCCACCAGGGTGCCCGGCCCAGCTGTCTCCACCACGGAGAACTGGTACAGGCCTTGAGGGTGGATGGAGGGGAGACAGTCTTAGAGAGGTACCCAGCCCTCTTCCTTCCCCAGCACTTCCTTCTTCCGGGGCCTGGCTGGGAGAGGGGTGAGGTGGGCGGCCAAAGGATGGCTCAGGTAGCAGCAATTGGACCCTTACTCTGAGGGAACTTGGGGGGGTTGTCGTTGACATCACTGAGGGTGACCGTCACCGTAGTACTGCCCGACAGCCCCCCCATGTGGCCACCCATGTCCTTGGCCTGAATCACCACCAAGAACTCCTCCTGCGTCTCTCGGTCCATGTTGGGAATGGCGGTGCGCACAACTCCTAGGGAGAGACACTGGGTTAGGGGTTCCTGTTCCTATGGCTGCCCCACCATTCCTGAACTCTACCCTCACCAGTCTGGGGGTCCACAGAGAAGAAAGGCAGGCCATCCAGCACAGTGTACACCAGCTTGGCGCTGTTCCCATAGCTGGGGTCATCGGCATCGTGAGCAGTCACCTGGATCACTGATGTCCCTGTGGGGGATCCCAGCACCCCACTCAGCAGGGGCAGGGCCGGGACGGGAAGAACAGCAGATGAGGGGAACCCAGACACGAGCAGGGCTGAACCAAAGGACTGGGTTCTGGGGGCAGAAAGCAATGGGAGGAGAGGAGATGGCACTCCAGGAGGTGGTATCTGGGTATTCAGACGTGGGGTACTCACCAACGTTGGACATCTCAGGCACTGTAGCATGGTAGGGCCCCAGGGGAAAGATGGGGGGATTGTCGTTGATGTCTTGCACCTTGATGATGAACTCTGATGGGGGCTCTAGGGGACGGTTGGAGGCTCGGTCCACAGCTTGGGCCAGTAGCACATACTGTGCCTTCTCCTCCCGGTCCAGGCTCTTGGTGACATGGATATTGCCTGTGGCCTCGTCAATCACAAACACGGTGCCTGCCCCCTCCCCGGTCAGCAGGTACTTGGTGCGGCCCTCACCCCGGTCCACATCTGAGTGTAGCTGTAAGGATCAGGGGAAGATGACAGCGGGTTCCACATAGGAACAGAAAGTTCAAGAGTCTATATCTAGGACTGGGTGGAGTGTTGGGAGTCCTGAGGGACCAAGGTCATTGCAGAAGTAAAGAAGTTGCAGGGCTGGGCTACAGAGTCAGGGTAGCCATGGGAGGGCTTGATCCTTACCTTGCCAATGAGCACAGGCTCTGGACCGGCATATTCTTCGATGACAAAAAACTGGTTCCACACCCAGCTCCTTCGGGTCCGCAGCAGTGCTGGTCCTGGGCCCCCCCGGGACCATGCCCAGGCCCGTGCTGGGGCTGCCAGGCGTCCCATGCAGCCCCAGCCACCCAGCCAGGCCAGCAGGAGCCTCACCAGGCCCCACATGTCTGGGCTCTAGCTAGGGCTCTCTTCACTGCCCCCAGGTGCTGAGGCATGAGCTGGCTGGGGCAGAGGGGCACATGTGCTGGGGCTACCCCATGGATCCACACCTGCAGGACAGGTAGCTCTTCAGGGTCAAGGAAACTTAACCCTCCACCCCACCAGAGGTAGATGTTGAAGAGCCGACCTCTAAGGAGCTAGACTCCCACTGCCCAGAACGCAGTTGAAGACAGAGCAGGCAGTCTGATCGCTTCCCTCTTCCCAGGCTCTGCCTGTATTCACCTCCAGCCCTCCAAGCGGATAAATCTCGAGCCAGTCAACTCTGAGTAGAGAAGCTGGGGAAGAACACAGAAGAAGGGATGCTGGGAGGGCTTGGAACCCCGCCTGGCCCATGTCCTCTCAGGTGGGGCATGAAGCAAGGGGCTGGAGGAGATGGGGGCTGCCAGAAAAGGTTTCTACCTCAGGGGCTGGGATTCTTGGAGTTGCCCAGGGTCAGGCTGAAATAACAAGTGCAACATAAGACAGGCTTGAGAGCCTGTGAAAAGTCCCTCCTCCGTAGGAACCCACCTCTCTGGAACCTTCCCCCAGCCCACACTGCCATCTGAAGTCCTTGAAGGGGAACTGGGCTCCTGAGGTGGAGTGGGGCTGGTGGGGCCGGTGGGGGAGAGCTGAAAGAATAGCAGGTAGAGTCGGAGGTAGGACAAGGAGACTGGGGAGGGGGACAGGCAGACTCCGAAGCTAGAGACACAGTGATTGAGCGTGAAACCAAGACTCATGGACTGTCCAGCAGAGACAGAGACAGAATGGCAGGGAGAGACTGAATGAGAGATCAAAGGAGGCTGCCTGGTGTCTGAAAGGCAGACAGGAGTCACAGGTACTAGTCTGGGGAATGGGAAGGAGGGGGAAGAGGGGTCTCGCCCTGTGATGGGCCCACAGGGCAGCCCTTGGCTGCGGGGGTCAGACCAGGCCGCCAGAACTTCATTCTGGGAGAGCGGGTGGCTCGGAGGGGCCACAGGAAGGGGGCTAGAGAGAGGGCCCTTTCCACTGCTCTTTCCTACCTCTCCTCCCGGGGTGGGGGAACCCTCGCAGGTAGCTGTGGCTGTGCCCCCTGCTCCCCCAGGGCAGACACACACCTTACAGTCCTTCCCCTCCCGAGGGAAGAGGGAAGCCGGACAGAAGCTGGGGACCAGAGAGGGAGGCGGGACGAGGAGACGGAAAGGGAGAGAGTAGTGGAAAACAGGATAGCGGGGAGGGAAGAGGAGAGGAGAGGAGAGGGAAGGAACAGGGAAAGGAAAGGAGGGCGGGAAAAGGAAAAGAGAAAGAACAGGAAAGGAGAGAAAGGTAGAGGAAGAAAAAGGCAAAGAGGAAGTGGAGATGGGGAAAGACAGGGCAAGAGGCAGAGGGAAGGTGCAGAGACGGCAAACAGGCAGAGAGAAGGCAGGGTGAAGAGACACCGAGGGAGAGAAAAATGGGAAGAAGAGGGCGGGAGGAGCAAGGGAAGAAGGGAAAGAGGTAGAGCGCGGGAGAAGGGAGCCGGCAGTGGGCTCCCAGCCGCGGAGCGCACTGCTCTGAAGACACCCGCAGGCTGCGGGCCCCCTGCCTGCCCCTCCGCGGACCCCGGACCAGGGCTCCAGGGCAAGCTCTTACCTGGCAGTGCCGAAGGGCCCAGCCTGGCGGGGAGCACCCCCGCCCGGCCCCGTCGCTGGGTCCCGGGGGCGCAGCCCCGAGCCGATCCGAGCGGGCGCCGCGGCTCCGCTGCAGGTCTGAGCGGCCCCGGCGAGAACAAGGGAGCGAGACAGAGGGGGCGGGGGAAGGAGGCTCCGCCTGCGGAGGAGCGAGGCGGCTCAGCTGCCGCGCGGGAGAGGAGAGCCCAGCCTCCGACCCTCCCCGGCCAGCCCGGCCCGAGCGGGGGTGGGGGCAGTGCTGCCGGGCTGCCAGGCGCATACAGATGCACCGCCCCTCCTGGGCCAGGCCTGCAGAGCCCGGCGGGGCATTCGGGAGGGAGGACGTCCAGGCCAGGTCCCCAGAGCTGGTGGGGAGGGTGCACCTGGGAGCGCCTAGCGGCCCTCATGGCCCCCGCAGCAGGGTGAGCGCGCGGCATGGCAATGGGGGTGATTCGGAGCCACTGCGGAGACCCGACTCCCGCCCGCAGACCAGCCTCCGGGGCTTTTTTTTTACCCCGGGTGCAAGACAGCAGCATTTGGGGAGCCCGTGCAGGGCACGGTAGGGGGCCGCTGGGGTACGCGTCGGGACTTCCTAAGAGGCCAGAGTCCACGAGCCGGGCCTAGGAACAGGTCGGGGACTCCGGAGTGACATGGGCAGGAGTGGACGGAGATGGGGAATGGAGCCTTTTTGGGAAGCTCATTTACAGGCGCCTACTGAGCGAGTGGCTGATGCCCCCTGGTGGCAGTTGTGGGAGACACCTTGAAGGTGAAAAGCAGGTATCAAAATACCTCTAGCTGGCACCCACTCGGCCCTCCCCTCTCCCCACCGGTGAAGTAGCCCCACAGCTGTAGTGTGTAGACCTAACGCAGGGAAAGAGGGAGTTACTCTGGTTCTGGGATGCAGCAGCCTACGCAATCAACGCTGGCTCCAGCCATCCTCTTCAATTTGGCTCTCACCCAGGCCCTGCCCAAGAAAAGCCACTCACACACTACTTAAAACTAAGTCAGATTTTTATTATTTTCCATAGACCACATCATTTAATAATAAAAAAAAATAAAAATAAAAATTGAACAAAAGGAAAAGGTGGATATAAAGTGGAACCAGTGGGCAGGAGGCAAGGGCTGCAGGACAGAAGAGACCGGGAACTGCAGGGGCCCTGGGACTCAGGAGATGCTGATTCAGCTCATAGGTGACCCAGTCCTGGCCCCAGCTGTTCCCAAGAGGTGTGAGTACCCAAAGGAGGTGGTGAGCAGTATGAAGGAAAAATGAAAGAGGCTGGGGATCCTGGCTGTCCCCCACCTCTGGGCCAACCACCTCTCTCTCTCTAACCTAGCTCTTCCCTCTCAGACCTCATGGGAAATGAGAGGGCTAAATCCCAAGAGATAGGTTATGGGGTACAGGGGAAGAAGATGGCCACTGCTCCATTTGGTATGTGGGGACAGGTGGCAGCCATACTTCAGCACTGGGCAAATGGTGTGAAAGACCCCTGGTTTCAGGGTGGTGGAGATTGTACCTATCCCTCTGTGGCCTTGAGCTCCCACCCTGGGGCAGGGTGGCCGATGCCTGCAGTTCTCCCCAGTGTTCTCCCAGCTAGCGGCGCCCACCCCGGTCCCGCACAGGTGTGCTCCGACTTCGGCTCCTGCTATGGCGCTTGTTGTCTCTGCGGTCCCTCTCCCTGCCTCTTTCCCGGTCCCGTTCCCTATCCCTGTCTCGATCCCCCCTGTCACGCTCGCGTTCCCTTTCTCTCTCCCGGTCCCTCTCTCGGCTGTGCTCTCGCCGCTTCTCTCGCTCTAGCTGTCGGTTCCGCTCTCGCTCTGCTTCTTTCTCCCGCTCCTTTTGCTCTTCTTCTTCTTGCTCCTTTCGCCGCTTCTCCCGCTCCTTGGCCCGTTCAGCCCGCTCTGCCTCCTTCTGAACAATCTGCAGCCAGTAGGAAAGGCAGAGAATAGGCATGTCAGCCCAGGGCATGTCAGCCCAGCTCACGTTAGCCCCACTCTGTCTATTTGCATTTGGACCTGGTACTTCTAACTCAGGATAACTGTTGGCTTTACTGTGAAGCAGGGAGGGAGGGAGGGGGAGAGAGAGAGAGAGAGAGAGAGAGAGCGCGCGCGCGCACACTCGCACGGGGCGGGGGGGGGGGGGGAGAGCAATCACACCTGTCCTTGTCTCAGAGCCCCAGTTCCTATAAGTGTTCACCCTTTATACCCACCACATGTACTGGCACCACCCAAGCCTGGCCTCTGGTATTCCCCTAGCTGTCTACATACTTGTGGACAAATCTCTATTTGAGTGGCATAAGCTTAAAATTCCCAAAATTCCTGTTACAAGAAAACAAACTGAAAAAGCAAAAAACACTAAATATTAAAAAACCCCAGAAATGGCTAAGTTTATAAAACAGGAGATTTCTCTTGCTACTTAAAATTAATTTCCAAGAGGAATGATTGGCACAGGCAGCTTCCTAGGCTATGCAAATGCATTTCCTGTCTTTGTGTCTACTTTCACCTTATTAAGTTTGGCTTCTCTAGGCAGACTCATCAACTGGTTCTTAAAACAACCTCTGTCTTTGATACTTAGTTTTTCCCTTATTACTCTAAGCTGCTCCCTGGGACTCCTCCCTCTGACACCCCTAAGTCTCTCCCTGGTGTCCTGCCCCAGCCTCACTGCAGCTCTGAGCAGGGCAGGAAGGCCAGCACTCACCTGGCTGTCAGTGAGTGGGAGCCAGTAGATGCAGGGAGCTGCTTTGGTCTTTCGGAAAAGGTCATCCAGGAGCTTAGCTGGTGGTTCCTCCTGAGCTTTCTCTGATGTGGAAAAAAGTGAGTTAGACTTGATGTGAAGGACCCTGTGTCCCATCCCATTTTGTTCCCTTTCCCACGTACCAGTGAATATGTGTGTCCCCACAGCTAAGTACCTTTCTTCTCACTCTTCTTTTCTTTAGACTTCGCACGTTCCTTGCGGCGGCGATCACGGGACCGTGATCGGGAACGGGGCCCTTCTCGAACTTTGTCCCGATCCCATTCACGCTCCGATCGAGTTCGCTCCCGCCGCTCCATTTCCCGTTCCCGCTCTGCCCACTGTTCCCGCACTGCCCGCTCCTGCTCCCGCTGCTCTGCCCGGGGGTGCTGTGGTGGCTGGGCTGGGGGTGGGGGTGGAGGGTGGAGGGGCCGTGGTACTCCCTGCTCCTCTGTCTTAGCTTCAGAGGGACGGTCCACCAAGAGGCCCCGGTGATAATCCAGCTGTGGGTAGATGAAGGACAAGGATATTCAGGATAGAGATGACATCACTCCAACAGAAGCAGCCCAGGTACCAGTGGACAGAGACTTTGAAGCCACACGGTTCAACTAAAGGAACCAAAGAGGTGGGAGGAGAGGGAATCTCAGGAGAGGATGACCTCCCCTACCTCTCCCTAAATTTCTTACCTCATCTTGCTCAGCATAGTCAGCACAAAGGAATTTGGGATTGGACTGAGGCCATTTGACACCATGTAGAGCTGTGCGGGTGGCAACTGCTTCCTCTACTGTTGCGTACTGGTGCAGAAAGGGAGAAGGCAGAGGGGTCACAATAGGCCTTTAATCTTTCTCACTTGCCACAACACCCTCAAACCCGCCCATGTTGCTCACAAAAGGAAACATGCCAGAACCTGGAGCTTCCCCCCCCCCTCACCGTTACAAAACAATGAGATTTGATCTTGTCAATCCAGAAGGCCTCTTCCACCAGAGTTCCTGTACGTCCCAACAATTCCTTCAGTTGGCCTAAAGTGAAGGGACGAACCTGCCAACCAACATGGAAGAGTTAAGAGTCACGTAACTAATCTTGAGATTTTCCAAACTGCCGTCATAGTAGTAGAGCTTCAAAGTTTGGATGAGAGCAGAGAAGTGAGAATCCTCTAGTAGGAATGTGAGAAGAGTGGCAACACTCATTTAGGCAGTATGGGCCCTCTGCAAATTCTAAAGAAAATCCTTCAAGGTGATACTTTTTTCTCCCCATTTTTTAGATGAGACAGGCTGTGAGGTTAAGTAAATTCACTCAGTCAATGTCTCCTTAGGAGTTGAGCCTAAGAAGCATGAATCCAAAGCTCAAACTCAACAAGGCTGCACTGTGGGAAACAAAGACTTACCAAATTGGAGATGTGCACGATGTTACTGATCTTGCCCCGGGGTGGGGAGGGCACCTGAGCAGTTCGCACTGGATCATCAATTGTAATGGAAACTCCAGACTTCTGCTGGCTAATGGAACGTCTTGTTAAAGTATCTCCTAAAGTCACTATCAAATAGAGCACACAAATGGTTTTCAGTAGAGAGCAACATTACTGCTTTGTTTTATTCCGAACTCTTCCATCTAAATGTGCTGAGCACACCTATAATGTGCCAGGTATTGTCTAGGCTAATCTCATTATGGGGACTCTAAGATTTAAACAGAGTAGAAACTAGCCCTAAAGTATAATAGCTCAACAACCATGACAGAGAAGACATGTAAAATATGATAATAAAAAGCAAAACATTAAAAGAAGTCTAAATAAAGTGCTCTGGGAATTCAGGGAGCTGCACTGTTTCAACCATTAATGGCTCACCCACCTTTCTTTACTTCATGCTCCACAGGTGGAGGCAAAGACACCTCTACTGAAACCTGGGGAGGTATGGGGGGTTCTGCTTCAGGTTCTTTTTCTTCCTCCTCCTCTTCCCTTTGCCCATTCTCCTGGCCCTCTGCAGGTACTACCTGTAAAGTATTAGATATGGAGGGATTTTTAAACACTGGCACATTCTTTTCAGCTTCTGGTTTCCTGGTGAGAGAGGGTGGTATAGTCAACCTAGCATGTGCCTTCCACTAGGGGAAGATTTCATCATTAAGTTCACCTCCACCAGATCCTGGGACTGTTAATGCCTCAGCTCTTCCACGAGGAAAACTAAGGCAGGAGTCCTGTAGATTTTTTTCTGTATAGGATAAGAGTAAATATTTTTACATTTTGTGAGGCTTAAGAGTTTCAGTTGCAACTATTCAACTCTGACTTTATAGCACAGAGCTGCCACCGACAAGAGTACTCGACTGG